AAATGCAGAGAATGCACTTTTGATTCAAAGGAAAAAGAAAGAATATTTATTATCAGAGTTCATTTGAATGTTTCATGCTTCTGATATAAATGAAGATAAGGAACTTTTCTGCTATAACCAATGTAAATCTAAAACTTTACAGGAGGAAGTAATTCTCTACAGAATTACATATCTAGAGTGGATTCATTTTGGCTACTCTGGAAGAAGAAATTTTTCCCTACAAAGGTGCCCCTCCTGTGTATTATAATCCTTATGTATAGGCATACCTCATTTTATTGTACGTTGCGGATATTGTGTTTTTTACAAATGAAGGTTTGTAGCAACCCTGCTTCGAGCAAGTCTGTTGGCACAAATTTATTACCAACAGCATGTGTTCATTTCATGTCTGTGTCACATTTTGGTAATTCTTGTAATATTTCAAACTGTTTCATTATCATATCTGTTATGGTGATCTATGATCCGTGATCTTTGATATTACTATTATAATTGTTTTGGGGCACCAGCCACACCCATATAAGACAGAAAACTTAATCGATAAATGTCGTATGTCTGACTACCGTTGATGGCCATTTCCATCTCTCCCTCTCCTCGAGCCTCCCTATTCCCTGAGACACAACAATATTGAAATTGGGCCAATTAATAACTATAATGGCATTAAGTGTTCAAGTGAAAGGAAGAATCTCATGTTTCTCACTTTAAATCAAGAGCTAGAAGTGATTAAGCTTAGTGATCCATTCTGCAGCCCATGGATCAAGGAGTAATTTTGACTTTTTAAGTCCTGTTTAAGAAATGGAGGGCTGGGCATAATTGTGTGCACCTATGGTCCCCACTACTTGGGAGGCTGAGGCAGGAAGATCACTTGAGCCCAGGAATTTCAGGCAGGCCTGGGCAACATAGTGAGACTCCATCTCACTTATTAAAAGCAGAGAACCTCTCTTGGCTGTGGTAAGCAAGTGATGTGACTATGAAAGATGGGTTGGGGAAGAAGGGTTGCTGGCTTTGAGGGGGACCACAAGACAAGAACTATGGGCAGCCTCTAGGGGGAGCTGGAAAAGCAAGGAAATTGATTTTCCCCCAAAGCCTCCAAAAAGAAAGGCAGCCCTGCCAACACCTTAATGTTAGCTCAGTGAGACCCATGTCATACTTCTTACCTACAGAAATGTAGGATAATAAATTTATATTGTTTTAAGCCACTAATTTTGTGGTAATTTGTTATGGCAGCAGGAGGAAACTAATATAGTATACTGCCCTCTAACCTATACAGAGCTTATACATTTAAGCCGTAGGCTTTCATTCAGAATGAGCCTAGGCAGGCACATTGATTGCTAAAATCTTTTACTATAACCAGAGAACATACAAAATTTTGTTTCACAGCCTTGTTTTCTAAAGTATTGAAGTCCCCTACTGAAATAGAAATATGAAACTAGATAGATTTTTTAAATAAAAGAGAAGCTATTGAAACCATGTGAGAGAAGAATGATTTTCCTTTTATTGTCTAAAAGAATCAGATTTTTAAATGTGGAACATTTAAAAAAAGTTAAAGATCCACAAGTCTGATAGCTGTGGTTGCAAAAGCTGAATTTTGCTGAAGAATTTATAAAGCTAATTGAAGAAAACTGTGTCTGTATAAAATGTGAGCTTCATAATGCTCCCAGGGTCAGAAAGACCTAGAGTAATCATGTTAATAATTGAAAATTGCCTTTGCCTGGCATGATTTCTCCATGGTTTCAGAAATTGCAGTATATGAGGACCCTGAAGTATTCTTGGTTGGTCCAATTCCTGCTTACTCCCTTTACCTTCATGTAAACATTATCATCTCTCCTTATAATAATGAATAATTATTTCTTGGGGAAATAATTACCTAGGATGATAAGCCTTTTTATTAGGACCTTTTAATATTCCTCTTGTTTTGTGATGGAAAATAAATGCATCAAATCCCTTTCAAACTTGACTTTAAAGATCAACATTTTTCTCTCTTTATCAATAATGTCTTAAGATACAATTTTAAAAATTATGTTTTTAAGGAACGTACTCTCAACATCACTGATTGCTGCAAAACCCTGGTTTTGTGTTTATCTATCTGTGCCACAGTAGCTTTTGAAGATGTCAATTTATTTTCATTAGAAAGGATTTGGTACTAAAGAATATATAGTTATTTTTGTCAATTTCAATAAAATGAACCTCAAGTTAAGGAAATAAAATGTCTTATAAGAAAAAGAAAAAAGCTAAATGTACCATATTTTTTAAAATGGGCTTGTCAGTTTTAAATCCATTATGGACAGGGGCCTCTTTGTTTACATGATTGTCTTTGTATTTCAAATGCATAGCATGGTGGCAGAAACATAGTAAGTGCTCAGTAAATATTTGTGGAATGAAAAACCATTCCGTGCCCATGTTCATTGAATGTATGCCACTTTAATCCTATTGAACTTCTATCAAAAAATAATTTTATCATCACTAAGAGACTGTCTCTAATAAACTCTAATAGTCTTTGTATATCTGAAAATTTCTTATATGATAGTTTAACTGGGTATAGAATTCTAGCTTGACAGATTTTTTTTTCTCTGCATGTTGAGGACATTATCGCATTATCTATTCTGGTGGTGATGCTATTAATGAGAAATCTGATGTTAGTTTGTCATTTCTTCGTAGGACATCTTCTAGTCTTTCTCTCTGGTAGTTTTTAAGGTATACACTTTATCTGTGCTGTAACAAAATACAGATTTATTTTCATTTGTCCCACTAGGGATTCTCTCTTCTTTTTCAGTTTGAGGATTCCTGCATTCTTCACTTCCCTGCCATCATCTCTTCCATTTTCTCTTTTCTCTCCTTCTAGCATTTTAGAAATTTTAGTTTGTCTTCTTCCATGTCTTCTGTCTCTTAATTTCTCTTTTCTTTTTTTAAAAAATATCTCTGTACTACATTTGGAGTAATTTTATTCTTCCAGTTTATCAGCTATCATAGGGCTGTTTAGTCTGCTGCTTAACCCATATTTTGAGTTTATTTCTATCTCTATTTTTTATTTCAAAACTATATTTCATTTTTAAAGTTTGTCTTTAGTTCTTTCTCAAATCTGCCTGCCTATATGATGCCCAATTTTTGCTAGTGAATTCTATTCCTTTCTTTATCTTTTTGGACATGCTACTGATTTGAAGTCTCTTTCAGATTGCTTTATTATCAATAATTTCTCTGATATGAGTTCCAATATTTGTTACATCTGCTCACTTTCATGGTGGTGGTTTTTATATGTTCTTTATAATTTTTGTCTGCATTCCTCTTTCCCGCCCTCCACTGGAATCACAAACATACTCTGAATTATGAAAGTCTTGGTATGTTTTTTTATTCACCCCTCATTGAAATCTGTGGTTTTCACTGGTTCTGGGCCAGTTTTTTATGTTGATTTTCAGCTTAGACTTTCCATACCAGGTAGTGCAAAATCAGATTCCACACATGGCACAAGCTGGTATTCCATTTTGTCACCAGTGATTCATTCTATTGCAGTGGTCCCCAACCTTTCTGGCACCAGGTACCAGTTTCATGAAACACAATTTTTCCACAGACTGTGGGGGACGGGGGGAATTGTTTTGGGATGTGCATTACATTTATTGTGCAGTCAAACCTCTCTGCTAATGATAATTGGTATTTGCAGCCGCTCCCCAGCGCTAGCATCACTGCCTCAGCTCCACCTCAGATCATCAGGCATTAGATTCTCATAAGGAGAGCACAACCTACATCCCTCACATGCACAATTTACAGTAGGCTTCGCACTCCTATGAAAATCTAATGCTGCAGCTGATCTGACAGGAGGTGGAGCTCAGGTGGTGATATAAGCGATGGGGAGCGGCTATAAATACAGATGAAGCTTTGCTCACATGCCTGCTGCTCATCTCCTGCTGTGTGGCTCCGTTCCTAACAGGCCATGGGACCTGGACCGGTCCGTGGCCCAGGGGTTGGGGACCACAGATCTAGAGTCAGAAGAAGGTAGCCTGCTTCTAGCTTGTGTCCCTGGGTTGGGCTTTCCTAGCTTTAATTTGTAAATTGGATATCTTTTTGATTCCTCTTGGGTTTTTTGTTTGTTTCTTTGTTGTTTACTGCAATGAGTTAAATCATTTCCATCTCCCTTCTACATATGGAGTCCTGCAGACTACAACTTCAGACCCTGCCCCAAGGGCTACTGAGCTTCAGATTCCACCACCAACTATGTTACTTCTTTGTTTTGGGTACCTAGAGATTCTGCTTCCTTACTTTTGAGCTCAAGTGTAATTTTGTTGTTGTTATTGTTAAGTTGTATCCAGTATTTCTCTTTTGGGGATGGGATGGAGACTTCCCACTAGTCATACCATACCATCTTGTCAGGAAAACTGGAAGGATATAATTTAAAATTATTTATTTCTTGACCCACCGTTGGTAACAATTTGTGTTAAGCAAGCAACCCATAGCCTGTAAAATGAGTATGTTTCTATCTATAATTCAACCAACTGTAGTTAACATGTTAAAATCACTACGTATTCTTGTAACCCAGTGGTAGTTAAAGTGTAAGATTTATGAAAATGGTTTATTTATTTAATTTTGACATGAAGATTATTTTTTATATTTGTAAAATTATGTAAAATTAAGTAACTGAAAGACTGCTTAGTAATTTTGAGAGAAATTACTGAACTTAAAAATTTTGGATATTCCATTTTTATGCCATCATTTGTATAATCATTAATTTTTATCCTTCTTTGGGATAGTAGATATCAGCATGTGTATCAGTATGCCCACAGCCTTGAAATAGAAATATCATATTATTTATATTTCTTTATCATCTTTCTTTAAGATATAAAAATAATTTTTCTCTATATCATCTTTTTAAAGATCTAGGTTTACATCTTCTGACAATGATTTCAGTTGGCCTACTTCATCAAAAAGAATATTGGGAAATAGTAAGACATTCTCCTTATTTGACCAAAAATGACTATTTTTTCAGGCATAGTTTTTGTTTCCTTCCCTTTTTTCAGACACGTAAAGAAAAAGTGAATGCGGATACATTGAGACATGCAACAAAAGGCCAACAACCAAGTGAAGGAAGTATTTCATCTCCTCTTTACATCTCATACCCTATAAGCCAGAAGAAGAAAAAAATCTGCCGTACAGACCAGACCACCTTCATAATTGGAGAAACACCAAAAGGAATCCGCAGGTATGTCATCTGTAAGAACACTAGACTTTAAGACTAAATCTCAAAAGAAATATAACTCCTTCATAAAATATACAAATTATTTGAATTATACTTGGCATCTGAATATTTCAGAAAAATCTGATTTTAAAAGATAAATTGCAGATATTTTCAATGTTTTAAAAAGCTAACCCCTGGACTGATTTTTAAAAAGAAATCATTTTAGATAGCAAAATGAAATATTAAATACTTAAGGGCATTTTATTCATTCAGTCATTGAATATGTATTGAGCACCTAATATGCACCCAGGCATTATGTATGGGTGTATAAGAAAAAAAGTGGACCGGCTGCCTTGAAAGAGAAAAATGGGTGGGGGGGGAGGTAGAACCATGGTTCTATTGGGTAGTCAGGGAAGACCTGTCTACACAGGTGGCATTAAGTTGAGACCTGAAGGATAACCATACAGAGAACCAGAGGGAGAGCATCTCTGAGGACGGAAAAGGTTTGGTGTGGTCAAGGAACTGAGCAAAACTGGGGGACTTAGTGCAGCATAAACCAGCAGAGAGTAGCACAAGATGAAGACAGAGATATAGACAGGGCCAGAGCATGTAAAGCCATAGACACTGTGGAAAGAGCTTGGATTTTGTTCCAAGTGCAGTGGAAAGCTATTGAAGAATGACATGATCTAAGGTATGTGTTTAAAAGATTGTTCCAGCTTCCCTGTGGAAGAGGGCAAAGTGGACGAGGGGAGATGAGAAAGAACTAGGTGGTGGTTTGCACCAGAGTGGTTGCCATGAGGATAGAACCAAATGGATGAATTCAATTTGGTGATGGACTGGTTTGGGAAATAGATCGGGATTACTCCTGACTTTCTTTCTTGAGCAATAGAGTGGATTTACTGAATGGGGAAAACTAGGAGGGAAACAAGTTTCGAGTGAAAAAAATCAGGAGTTCTCTTTTGCTCATATTAAATGTGAGACTCTGTGCAAATGTCAAATAGGCAATGGATATGCTACTCTGAGATTGAGGATTGGAGATATAAATTTGGGAGGCATTAGCATAGAATTTATACATGTTTTTTAGGACCATGGGACCGTGTGAGCAGCCTGGGAACAGAGCACAGAAAGGAAGGGAGACGCACCAGGACAGAGCCTGGAGGCAGCAGGTGTCAGCAGAGTGGTCCGCGAAATAGGAGGCTCAGTACAGGGTCCTGAAGTCCAAGAGAAGTAAGAGTATCGAAGAGGAGGGAGTACTTAACTTTATCGAATGCTGCGGAGAACCAGACCAGATGAAATGGGAAAGTGCCCACTGGAAGTGGCAGCAGAGAGTTCACCTGGCACCCTGGCACAAGCAGCCTGCAAAGCAGGGGGCAGACGCTGGTGTGCGACAGGCCAGCGGTGGTGGGGAGACCCTGTGGCGGCTCCTTTAGTTTGGATGTGAAAAGTAGCAGTAGCTAGAGGGCCTCGTAGGGCCAAGGGTAGGTTTTTTTAAAAGTTGGGAAGATAATATAATAGAACCTGTTTCTATGTTGAGGGAAAAGACTAATAGGTAAAAAAAAAAAAAAGAGATCATGCCAGAGAGGTGGTCACAGAAAGAGTGAAGTCCTGGAGGCAGGAGAAGGCCAACGTTGACCATGGCCAACGTCCGGCCTCAGAGGCATTGAAAGAGACGGGATGAACATGGGCACAGATACAGTGACATTTTCTCAATGAATTGAGAACTAAAGCCATCATTTCAAAGGAAGAGAGATTTAGGGAGAGAAACATTATGAAATAAATCATTTATAAAGTAGGAAAGCAAGCTTAGTGGGACTAGAATTCCTGGGTGATGCCAAGTCCCTGTTTGAGAGTAATTTCAAGAAAACCGTCTGTCCAGTTGTGCGCGTTTTATTCAGCAAGCTTCAATTGCTTTGTTGCAGACACAGAACAGGGAGATGGCGGGGTTTCACCAGGGTTAGAATGGAGAGTGAAGCAAGGAAGCTAAAGGATATTTATAAAGGAGCGATTACAAAGTCGAACCTAAGATGGACAAGGGATGGCTGACAGATGGTGAGAAAGCAGAAGAGTCAGTGAATTGGATGGCTTGATGAGGTCACAAGTGTATCACGGCTTTGCTGTCATGGGTGGTAATTGAGCAGTTGAGTGGGAGCATGAGATGACTGAATTCAGGGATGTGGAGTGTGTGCAGCTGATGGTGATGGCGATGGCAGTGTATAACCTTGGAAGTAGGAGGCTAACAGAGTTGAGATGTATGTTTGGAGGTGAGGTCAAGAAAGCGGTGGGCCAGGTGTTGGGTGGGACATCCACATGGATATCGATGTTATCGAGGACAATGGCAGGAGATGGGGTTGTGAGCAGGATTAATCCAGGCTCTTGAGCATTTAGTCACTAGCAGGAAGCAACTAAGGGGTCAGCTAACAAAATGGGAGACAGAATGGTTTGCCTGGATAGCATAATAAACCTTAAAGAGGGGAAGGAGTTTTCTGAGAAAATAATGGTCTGGAAGCAGCAAAGTGAAGCACAGACCCTGAGGTGAGAGCTGTGAGATGCAGGGCCTTGCCTTGGCAGTGTCTTTGAGGCACAGAAGGACCATTCAGCATAAAAATGGAAGGCACAGGGGAGTTGGTAGATCATAGCCTGGTTCCAGGGGCACCGAGGAATGGTTCAGAAGGCTGGGGGATTGGATTAGACCAGGGATGCACAGCCGGAGGGGATGACAGGCCAGTGGTAACGAATGGCTGAGGTGAGCACAGATGGGAGCCTGGTCGGGCTGGTCCTGCTGGTCTCTGGGAATAAAAGGAAAATGGTGCTGGCTCAAAATATTCCCCTCAGGGGTTTGGCAACTCCCAGGCAATGCTCCCACAACTGCCCAGGGAAGGGCTGATCCCTCAGCTCCTCGGGGTGCTAGCGTGGCAGGTTGGAGTGTGGCTCTCGGCTGCCCATGGTTGCACAGAAAGGTGAACACCTCCCACACTGCCACACAGAGCATCTCCCCACAGACAGAGCTACAACAATGATTCTTGCAGAGCGTGCCTTTCCACTTTAGGCAATTACTTTGCTGGGATGTCAACCGTGTACATTTTAACAGTCTTCAGGAGCACGTGTATCTTCATCCTCTTTAGCACCGTATATTAAAAAAAAGTACTAACAACTATTAGTTTTTGCCTTCCTTCCCTTTTTTCTCTACCTGCCTAGGGAATAAGTGACTCATGCTAAGTAAAAAGGTGAAGGATATCTAATATTAGAATGCCAGAATCTGAACTCGGCACAGTGTCTGGACTACTAGCACCCGCCCTGTCCTGCCAACCATCCTAGTCGATCAGAATCAAGACTGCTCCACCCTGCAGCCATGTGATTATCTGAATACGTGCCCAGGCCTACCTTTCCTTCAGGAAGCTTAGGCAGAGAGAAGGTGATTTTAGCAGTGTTCCACCCCAGTTCCTCCAGATAAAGGGAAAGGATTTTGAATTTTATCCATGATAATAACTACTTTTTTTTTTTTTTTTGAGACAGAGTCTTGCTCTGTCACCCTGGGTAGAGTGCATAGCATCATCATAGCTCACTGCAGCCTCAAACTCCTGGGCTCAAGTGATCCTCCTGCCTCAGCCTCCCAAGTAGCTGGGACTACATGCACACATAACAATGCCCAGCTAATTTTTCTATTTTTAGTAGAGATGCTCTTGCTCAGTCAGGCTGGTCTCAAACTCCTGACCTTAAGCAATCCTCCTGCCTCAGCCTCCCAAAGTGCTAGGATTACAGGTGTGAGCCACCATAACTGCTTCTGATATACTTTCTGAAAGATACCTGTCTTTGGTATCTCTTTTTTCCCTCTTTCCCTAAGTGGCTTATAGGTGTCTGTGCTAGTTTATAAATTTTTCCTTACAGAGTGCCCCCTGGTTGTACCTTGCATTTCCGTAAATTCTTAGAGAAAGTTCTTTTGAAAGCCCAGAATTAGGAAAGTGAGTTAGAAGGTAAAAATAAAATGAATGATAATGATAACTTATCCTGTAAGGGGCAACCATATGGCGTGATTTACTTGCAGACTACTCAGATAAAATGAGGTTAGAAGCAGCTCTCTTCCCAGAGGGAACAGGCCACAGGTCACAGGTGAGATCATGGTTTCAGCACAGCAGAGGTGAAGTTACTTTGGCAGCTGCTGAGACATCACCAAGTCTTGGATAAATAGAAGTCATCAGCTTGTAACTTTGCCAATCACTTCATCTTTACAAGCACAAATAGTTATTAGAAAGGCCATGAAAATGAATTTGGAGATGATTAATAAACAAAATAATATCCCATTACTTCATGTAAAATGAAAATGGAACCTTCTAGGAACATGCTTGTTGTTTTCCAACAAGAACATTGGCAATTTCCAGGAAAGAAATTTGGAAGCTGTATTTGTGTTATTAACTATGCTGTTGGAGATGAGAGTGGCTGTTAATCAAGCATGTATAGTATCTGAATTTGGAACAGTTAACAAGACAATGTATTGAGTTCTAGAAGCCATGCTGTTCATCTGAAGCCACAAAAGAAAGTCATGAGTATACATTATGGACTGCCACTAACATCAAAGGAAACACAAACTGTATATAACCGATCTGAGTGGCAAAAATAGAAGTGGCATTAAAGTTCCTATTTACATACATCAAAAATAAATCATTATTTTACCCTAAGGATTCTCTGTTGTGCATAGGATAAAATTCAAACTCCCGAACTTGGTATACAGACCCCATCTGATTTTCAGCCTCTTCCTTGGCAGTTCCTCCTGCCCCCCGTGTACCAGGTCCTCTTGGAACTGGGCCTATGCACATGCCCTCTCCCTGGAAGGCTTCCTCACTTGTCGTTACCTGACTGGAAGTAACCTCAGAGAAGCCTTCCCTACCCACCTTGCCCACCACCAGTCACGGGCATAGGTGCCCCTTCTGTGAGCGCCAGTAGGGCCCTGCATTTACCTCATAGTAAATTTATATCTTGGGATTTATAACTCTATTCTAGTTTGATTTTCACACGTTTTCTCCCCGGACTAGACTATAAACTCCTTGAAGACAAACAACGGGGTCTTGTTCACTGTTGGATAATTCCTACCTAGCATATAATAGGGCTCTATAAATATTTGTGGAATGAATAAATTACTGTTTTAAGGAACTATTGTGTAAAATATAAATATAATTCTAAAACTTTGTGGCTTTTAATCATGTACTATAATACCATCTATAGCTTTTATTTAAAGGAGTGCTTACAAACAATTGGGTTCTCCTGACTCAAGGCCCAGACTCAACATCAGCAAAGCAATACCCTCTCTCTTAGTCTGCTTGGGCTGCCATAACAAAATACTATAGACTGGGTGGCTTAAACAACAGAAATTTATTTCTCACAGTTCTAGAGGCTGGGAAGTCCAAGAACAAAGTGTTAACTGATTTGGTTTTTGGCGAGGGCCCTCTTCCTGGCTTGTAGATGGCTGCCTTCTCCCTGTGTCTTCGCATGGCAGAGAGAAACAGGGAGTGGGAGGGCGGGAAAGAGACTGTGCTAGCTAGCTCTCTGGCATCTCTTCTTATAGAGATGCTAATCCTATTGGATTAGGGCCCATCCTTATGACCTCATTTAACCTTAATTACTTTCTAAACGCCCTATCTTGAGATACTGTCACATTGTGGGTTAGGTCTTCAACGTGTAATTTTTGGGAGGACACAGTTCAGTCCATAGCACCCTTACCTGGGGAAAGGAGCAGAGTTTCTTGCCCAGGGTCTCTAAACAATCCTTCTACCGGTTCCAGAAGGCCCATTTCCTCATATGTGCATATAATAGCTTTTAGTAATCTCTTATATTAAGGATGTAGCTCACTTCTTCAAATACTTCTTAGTTTAGCTGTCTATACTGAAGTTAGACCAATTGTGGGGATAAAAGAATCTAGGTTTATCAGTTTAGAACTTTCCCTCAGGCTCATAAAAAAGTCTTATGAAATTTCTAATCATATTTGTGGAAGAAGGGAAAAAGGAAAAGGAAGGAAAAAAATTCTTAATTTTTCAGAATTTTTTCTATTTGTTAAGACCCTTGACAATTTTATTTCTTGGGACTTGAGTACAATATAGATTTTCAAGTGTACAGATCATATAAATTATGATTCTCCTGTCAGTCATAAATTGGCTCACTAGAGGAGTAGCATGCTGGGCTCCCATAATTCCCAGGAAATACCTAATAGTATAAATCAGAATAACATAAAAAGCTGGTGATTTCATGAGCTAAAATATTTTTTTTCAGTAGCATAAAGAAAGAGGCCACATTCTACTAGGATAAAGTGTATTTTCATTATGGAATTAAACAGACGTGTATTAAAGGAACAAGATTACATTGCTTTGCCACATTTCCTGTCACTGATGACTAGTTCTTTAAAAATAAAACGTAATAAAAATAACCATTGGTTTTATTCATTAAATCTTTAGAAAACAATTTGAAGAAATGGCGTCTTACTTTAACTCATCTTCTATAAAGGAATTTGCTAAACGTATAACTAATGCCACAGCTGAAGAACGACAGAAAATGCTAAGAGACTTTTATGCTTCTCAATATCCAGAGGTAAAAGAATTTTGGGGGGATTCTGCTTCAGAATTCATCAGTTCTGCCTATGAGGAAGAAAAGCAAATCAGGAAGAAATCTGAAAAAAGAGAATCTCTTCTAAAAGAAAAGCTGTCAGATTCTGAAACTTTGTCATTTAAAGATTCTACCAACAAAATATCTCAAATTTGTAGCCCAAAAATATATAAAGGAAAAGCAATTAAGTTTCAAAATCATGCTTCCTGTAGAGAAGAGTTGTTCTCTAATGACGCAGAAACTAAGAAATCACCTATTAGCTCTACCCGAGAGATTGACAATGGGAAAAACAGCCAAGCATCCAAAGGTAGTGTAGTGTCCTGTTGTCTGAACAGTAAGTCTGCAGCACGTGAGAGAGAGTTAGAAAACACCATGAGAGAACAACAGGACCTCACAAGAACGGGCATTTCAAGAAATGGACCCCTTTTCAAATTGGAAAACAGTAAGATAGAAAATCCAGTGTTAGAAAACACTTCTGTGGTAGGCTTACTCGGTGACACTTCTATTCTTGATGACCTCTTTAAAAGTCAGGGGAGCAGTCTCACACAACTGCCAAAGAAAGTTCTTTCAGGGCCCATGGAAAAAGCAAAACGGAGACCAAAAGATTTCTGGGACCTCTTGAATGAGCAGAATGAGGACAGTCTTAGCAAACTCACTGACTTGTCGGTCATAGAGACTCTGTGTGAAAAAGCACCCCTTGCCCTGTCCTCCAAAAGGAAAGGTGAGCTAGAATCTTCTCTTTGGAAATCAAATAAGAAATTTTTGTGGAAGCAATTTAACTCAAGCGATTCAGATGAAAACACAACCAATACACAGAGTGATACATAGCATATAAATGAATTGCTGCACCAACAAGCGATCACTGTTTACAGCACTCTGTTCTGTACTAATTGTATTATCTTGAACACAGTTGTCAACACATATGTTTATTAAAGTCTCGCTTTAGAGTTTTTTAAAGTCTAAGATATCATGGATTTGGGAACTTTTTGATATCTGATTTGATCTTTTAAAAATATGATTGTATTATAGTATAAACCTCTGTTATGAAATGGAAAAGGTTCTAGATTTGTTATTAGGAGACCTGGGGCATCTCTTATCATATAATTATGTGACCTTAGATAAGTCACTTGTCCTGGTATGGATTTGTTTCCTAATATGGGAGATGGTTTCAACTAGATCAACATGAGTGTCCTTCCAGTTTAAAAAAGCTTTGGTTCACTCTCCCAAGTTCCCTTAGGTCATGGGCCAAATCATGCCACCCCCCCACCCAAATCAGGTGCACACTGATGTGGTTCTTTCTTACTAGCATTTGGAAAATTATTAAATATTTTCCTTTTGCCTCGGTATCATGTTTTTAGTATTATTAAATTATTTTAGATAAAAGTCATAATTTGTACTGAATATATGGTATCGCATTGAAATGGTCATTTTCTAACAGCTCAAAATAAAGCCATTATGATTTAATGAATATAAATAAAGCTTTCTATAGTACTTTTGTATTTCTGAAGTATGAATGAGTAAATATTTTATTTTATTTGAAACTGTTATATTTTGTTGAATTTAATGTGTATGGTTTAAACTAGAATGTGCTCATTGTTGAATTCATTTATGTAGAAGCATTCATTCAGCCCCTATGTTCTATGCTAGGAGCTTGAACTTTACAGGTGAGGTACAGCTACAGGTAAAAGAAAGGAAATAATATCTGTCAAGAATCGTGTCTGTAAAGCCCCTGGCATCATGCCTGCACATGTAGGCAGGGACCTGAGGCTTCTACTTACCTGGGTTCAGATGAGCTGTTGCAAGCTTGCAGGGCTATGAGAGCAGGAGGTGTCCATCCAGAAAATAGCAATAAACCAGGAAATGGTTGTGCTTAGAGATCATCATTACTGTGTTGAGAGAGGGCTTCAGAGTACCCAGGATGTGGAGCCATCACTCAGAAGTGAAAAAGAACAAAAATCTTTTCTCAAGGGACTGAATGGCCAAGTATGTTTTTTCTTTAGAACAATGTCTCGCCCTGGAGAACTGTGAAATATATTTTATATCATGACCCAGTACATATGTGTTCAGACATATATATGATTGAAATAAAATGTTGATTAAGTAATATTTACACTTAAAGCATGTAATATACTTTGACAGTTTGCTCTTCTAGGACTGTGTGTGTGTTTTAATGCTCTCATAACCCAATAAATTGATTTCATGGCCTACTGAAGATTGAGAACCACAGTGTGAAAAAAACTGCTTTAGGCTATATAGAATTTGTGCTACTTGCATCTGAGTTGTGTCCGATAACAAAATGGACTTAGGAAATGCTACATGTCACCATTTCGGGGCTTTCTATACAATGAATGCATGATATAGTCTGTGGCAGACTTGACTTACAGATGTTTTTAGCCTGCTGTGTGATCAGCTATGTGAAGAGCTCTGTTCAGTAAATGGATTCATTTCATTTATATACTAGACAATATAGTTCAGACATTTTAATAAAAGTACATCTTTCATAAAATAAAATATCTTTTAAATTTTTTGTATAGGCATGACCTTAGAATCATAAAATGATATGCATACAAATATTAGCTCTATATTCTTCAAATATAAATAAATACTATTAAAAAGACTTTTATCAGTAATAGTCAAGATGGGAGCAAAATGCAGACCTAGAGTTTAAAAATTAGTTTCCAACAGTTGTCTGTGAAACCTTTATTCCTATCATGTAGGAGCAGTGTGCCAGGAAGAATGCAGAGTTGCGTAGGAAAAGGAGCCAGTCTGTGTTTCAGAAGAGAAACTGTCAGGATTGACTCCTTACCGTGGAGTGGTACAAAGATTTGGTTCAACCATTGATGAATCTGAGAACAGGCACTATGAAAGTTCGACAGTAAGAATCCTTCCTACTCCCACCCCACTGGTGGTGTGTCACCAAGTCCTGCCAAGTAAAAATGGGTGGCCTTAGGAAAACCCCATACCTTCTTTCAGCCTCAGTTTTCCCTGTAAATTAGAGATGGCCTGGATTGGTGGTGTTCAAACATTTTTTTAAGCAACTGAGCTGTATCTTAATAAGAAACTCAATTATTAAAGCAGTTAAAATGAAGTTTGTTGGTTCAAGCAGCACCTCTGTGGCTCCATGGAGCACTAGTTTGAAACCACAGGGATGAGATCATTGCTAAGAAACCTTCCAACTTCAAGTTTCCATGATTCTACTTGCCACAATCTGTCTTTTTTTACTTCTTTTTAAAGCAATGATACAGTTTCTGGCTGCTAGCACTCACCACACAGCTATTAATATTGGAAACTGAGGCAAGATACAGAGTGACTTTTGCATTTCACTTCCTCAGGATTCTCTTAAAGCCCTGAAACCACCTCTTCAAGGAAATTAACAACATCTGCAAGTGGTGCAGCTGCTCTTAAGTATTCAAGGGAAAGGAGTTTAGTTTGCAGAGATGAGTTGGTGATAAGCTTTTCATCAGTCCACAGAAAATGAGAAATCCACTGGAAATACAGAGTTGTTTTCTTTGATTTTGAGACAAGGTCTCACTACATTGTCCAGGCTGGTCTTGAACTCCTAGCCTCAAGCAATCCTCCCACCACCTACTGAGTAGTTGGGATCACAAGTGTGAGCCACCATGCCCAGCTCTTGTTTTTTAATTAAAGTTCAGTGTGTGCAATTTTTAAATTCTGAAGTTACCCTTCATGATGTCAAAATAGCCCTTTTTTTATGAAATGATGGTAGATCATAGCTTTTAGTTTTTTTCATTGTCCTTGATATAAAACTTGGTAACCATATGTCAGTCCCCAAAATTTTAGTAGACATTTACCGGTCTATAAAATCCAAAAGAATGGAAATCGCTGCCACCCTTAAAGGTCATTTTCTACATGTGAGAAAATAAGAGTTCCATAAGTCACTATGTCACAAATCCAGTTAACAGTGGATCTGGGACTCACCAAGGATATCATTGAACATGTAAGATCAGATGAGAAGCATATACCTTCAAAGAACCAAGAGTGCAGATCACCTACCTCTCTTGTAATCATCACTGATGTGACCTTGTTCCTGGTTCTATCTCCCACCTGCTTTTACAAAGCATCCTCCACTCGATGCTTCTCGGAGGCCTTACAGGGATGGTTCATAAGCCACTTTCCCCAGGGTGACAACCCCTGTGCTCTGTAGCATGTGGGGCTGGCCCTGCATGATGTTTATGGCAATCAGGAAAAACATCTCACTTTGCTAAAGGGCAACCCCAGGAGGGCTGTCTTGCCTCATGGGGTCTTGCAGGGTTTTACCTATGAAAACAGATCTTGTGGTGTTTACTCTCTGCCCCTGGAAGGAAAGACACAGAGTCGCCCTTCCTTCCAGAGTCCAAGGCTGTGTGGTTCCCAGCCCCAAGGGTGGCAAGTCAGAACCACCTGCAGAGGCTTTTATACACATGGATGCCCACGTTCCTCCCCAGAAGATTCTGGTTCAGGGGTCTAGGGTTCAGCACAGGCACCGTTTTTATTTTAAAGTTTCACAATAATTCTGATATGCCAATGCTTTGATGTTTGTCACCGTGCAGGACTCACCTGCCTGACCTTTCTTCCCCCTGGGACGCACTGTTTCCAGGGATGTCCTTCAGTTGCCCCACGACAACCCCACGCCCCAACCCCTGTGTGAAACTGGGGGAGGGACATGCAGCCGAGCTCGTGATGGAGCCCACTCTGTGCTTTTTTTTTTTTTTTAGACCCTAAATTTGTCATGTTCCTATAAAAATATCCACACGTATTTGTACACCACGTTCATAGCAGCATTATTCACAATAGCTAAAACATGAAAGCAATCCCAGTGTCCATCGATGGATGAACAGATAAGCAAAGTATCTTATCTTGGAAGATAAGGAAGGAAATTCTGACACATGCTACAACATGGATGAACCTTGAGGACATTGTGCAAAGTGAAATAAGCAGACACAGAAGGACAAACTTATGATTCCACTTATATGAGGTATGTAGATTAGTCAAATTCATAGAGACAAAGTATTTAATGGAATGGTGGTTGCCAGAAGCCAGAAGGAGGGGGAAATGGGGAGTTATTGTTTAATGGGTATGGAGTTTCAGTTTTATAAGATTTAAAAGAGTTCTGAAGATGGATGGTGATGGTGGTTGCACAACAATATGAACTTAATAACACTGAACTGTACACTTAAAAATGGTTAGATGATAAATTTTATATGTATTTTACCACAATAAAAAATGAAAAAAGCATGACCAAAAGAAACTCCTCACCAAAATGTGCTATATACCAAATTTTGATATATTGATTGACTTTATATTAATTTCACTTATAAATTTGAAATTATAATATAAATCTCAATTTTATTTGGTTTTTACATTGTTCCATATAAGACCTTATCTTGAAAAAAGGTTCCGCTGATTTAAAAAAGATTAGTAAAAAAAATCCACATGGGATTGTTTTTCTGATTATACTTTGTCAATATGCATTTTATTTGCTTTGCTGCTGGTTAACAAATTATGGTAGTTATATTCATTCCCTAAATTTCCAAATTTAAGACCAGTCTTGATTATATCAATATGCTCCCTTTCTGTCAGTGGACACAGATAATACCCAATTGTCATTCTTGGTTTTTTACTGCTCTCTCGTAGATAAAAATCAAGAATGCCTCTTTCTACAGATATCTCTTTGGTTAGCTAAATGGGTCCCTCAGTCTCTTTGAAAGAAATAACTAAAACTCACTTTATTTTGTTTCAGTTTATCTGATGGGGGAAAAAGTGCGCATCATTCATACGTCTCTAAGGAAACTCATGAGTTCTCAAACTAAAATATAAATTATTGCCCCCTCAATACATCTTTTAACATTGGATTTTCTTTTTTTGTAAAGTGGGACATGCATCCGGACTGAAAGATACAAACTTCAAAAAAAAGTCTTATAATAGTTAATTCAC